TTCGTATTTTAAATTAATATTTTTATAATTATAATTAAATTTAATTTATTAAAAATTAATATAATTATTTTTAAATAAATATGATTGTAGCAAGGAGCTCATTTCATAGGGTCATAACTATTACGAACAGCGATTACGATAGGCCCAGCAAGCGAGCTTGCTGGAGATACTTCGGGACAGGAAGGTCCCAGGTGCACGGGATCAGCGATCACGTGATGGGACCGAGAGGACCGACGGCGGCCCTCTCGGCCCTGAGCAGGAAGGTTCTATATAAGCAGATAGTTTTCCAAGTAGATAGGAGCTTCGTGCTCAACTCAAATATAGTTTCTTAACAACAAGCTATTAGTAACGAGATTGCATTCCTCTTCAATCTATTCTTCTTTGATCCCTTATCACCTCAACAGCCAACAATCCAACAGTCAGGCAGGACCGTTACAATTACGTCGCTGCTGCCAACGCCAGAGCCCCGGCAAAGATATAAGCTACGCAGAGACAGGGCTAGTTGTTTGCTGAGTATATTTCTTTGGTGAGACAGGTCTAGTCTGGGGGTTGGTAGTCATATACACCGATAGCATAAGTAACTTGGTTTCAAAGGGTCTTGAGTCTAGTTTAACTCTATCAATCTTCAGGCTTCATTAGTTTTTCCACGTCAATGTCATCGTACAGCGGTATTTTGGACTCATTATCTGCAGCTCTTTCCTCCCAATTCCATTGGTGATATAGCTCGCTTCAATCATGAGCATAGCGAGAAGCAACCCTTCTTCATTTTGTTTGTTTACCATTAAATCTTGATAAAAGAATGCGTCAAACCCGTATCGGAACATAGCCCGTCAGCGCTAAATTTCCTCAACAAAATGTTACTACGGTAAACATCGTCGTAAAGATCGTAAAAGTCCAAGATGGCGCCACCGCATAGATAATACCCCGCTTCACGTTCATGGTGAATAGCCCCGATATGATTTCCTAAGCTGGCCAATGAATACCCCGCTCCGGCTTCCGTTGAGTAAAGCCCGCTGTTGTTTGTAACTTGAAATTTTTGCTATTACCCCTCTCGGTGCCAGTCGACCCAAATCTACTCGTCATCATAAGCACGGTGACCCCGCTTTAAAATTAGTTAGGAATCTTCGGTTTTAGGTCAATAAATATTAAGAAACTTCACCTACCTTTTACGCCATTAGCAATTTTCTCCTGCAAAACACCTCTTGAGATTATCCAACTAGGCAAAAGCAAAATGACCAGCATGAACGGGACAATGGAAACGCCAGTAGGGCATACAGGAAAGCCTCTTCTCACGAAGGAGAGCAAGGTATGAACGCCCTGTCTTTCATTAACCACAGTTAATGTTTCTAGCCGGTGAAAATTGCTATTGTAGGTATCGGCAACGTTGGCGCGACCACTGCCTATGCATTATTATTGAGCGGACTCGCCGCCGATATCGTCCTTATAGACGTCAACGAAAAGAAAGCTCAAGGAGAAGCCATGGACTTGAACCACGCTGTGCCGTTCTCACACCCGACAAAGATATGGGCTGGCCACTACTCAGACTGCGAGGGAGCTGCGATCGTCATCATAGCAGCGGGTATCAATCAGAAACCTGGCCAAAGTCGCATGGACTTGTTAAAACTCAACTTTGGCATTTTCAAGTCCATCATTCCAGAGATCGTTCGCTATGCCAGCGATAGCATCCTCCTGATCGCGACGAACCCAGTGGATGTATTGACCTATGCCAGCTGGAAGTTGTCCGGTTTTCCAACGAATCGGGTGATCGGCTCCGGGACTGCTTTGGACACAGCGAGGTTTCGCTATTTGCTCGGTCAGTACTATGAGGTGGACCCACAGAGTGTACACGCCGACATTATTGGCGAGCATGGAGAAACGGAGCTTCCGGTGTGGTCTCTTGCCAGCATTGCAGGTATGAGGTTGGAGGATTACTGTCGTGAAGCTGGGAAGGATTTCGATTCCAAAGGGATGTTGCAATGCTTCCATACCACCAAGAACGCGGCTCGCGATATCATTCAACTGAAGGGTATGACCGACTACGGCGTTGCGGCAGCACTGGTGCGTATTGTTGAGACGATTTTGAGAGACGAGAATACGCTTCTGACAGTCTCGACCGTTGGGCCTCATGCTGGGGTTGACGACGTGTGTCTCAGTATACCTACCAAGGTAAATCGTGGAGGAGCCAATCATGTGCTGAAGGTAATGTTGAATAGCGAGGAGCAAAAGGCTCTGTTGAAATCAGCAGAAAGTGTGAAGGCAGCAATGGACACGCTCAATTTCGGATAGCTTCTTGGATGTTATTCAGCAGCGGCAGAGAATGTTGGCAAGGATGGAGGGAAGAGATCCAACAGCTCCTGGTGTGATGACCACTCATTAGGCTGTCAATTTATCTTTACCTTCTAGAAAGATATGAGACGCGTTCACTAACACTTCTCCATAATTTCAATACTAAGTTGTGTGACCATGGAATCGATGGATTCTTTTAACTTGGAGCACGAGAATCTCACGAAGTTCGATGATTGGCATCCTCGCTCAATAGACAACAACTGTGACTACCGAGCAAAGTAACTTGATTGCCATGAAAGGTTACTCAGCGAACCCCATACTTGACTCCTCGGTAAGATCGTCAATTGACGTCATGGCTAGTCGTTTTGGCGAATTGTTTATCTCAACGCTATAGACAGAGACCTTGACAGAACTAGACCCCGCGTTGATTGATAGCAGTAGTTTGCCCATGATCAATAGCCAAAGAGGGGTTGATCGAGGCAGCCCTGATGCTTTCTCTGAAGATCGGATTTGAGCGAAGTTCGAAGTTGAGCTCAAGTAGTCCAGTAAATGATAGGTGTTGTCAAAGCTTGCGAAGGGAAAAAGTCTAAACGTGGCGAAAAATCCACATCACAGGTCTCGGAAAAGGGTCCGCTTCTGTATGGCATGATCAAATTCAATACCACTGTACATCTGTGTAGAAGTGTGAGTTTATCCTAAGAAGCGGGGTAATGTAAATTTAGGAACCTCGAAAGCGGGGCAAAGTCGAGTCCATTTTGAAAGCGGGGTCTAAAAATCGTTTCAAAATAAACACATGTTAGATCAAGACAGACGAGTAGTGCTGTTTGATTCAATCCTTTAAAAAGTCAGCCGATTATTTGCTAGTGCATTTGAAAATATACTCAACTCGGTTTCCCGGAATAGTGCCCTCATTTTCGAAAAGCAAATGCTTTGCCAATTGCAACACTTCACACCTTGTCAAATCTTACTAGGTGAGTAAATATCACGCATTCAGGTCTCTAGGAAAATGATTCAGTGCTGAAAAGAGCGAGCTCGAGTCTTGGCTTAAGAGTTACCAACTGCTTTAAATCTTATTCCTCTAACAATTCTCGGTCCTAGATTTCGTGACGCTGACCGTATCATAGTACTCCTATGGCTCCAATAAAGGTTGGAATAAACGGATTCGGTCGGATTGGACGTCTCGCCTTCCGCCATTCTATTGTGGATAATGCTGTCGATGTAGTGGCCATCAACGATCCTTTCATTGAACCTCACAATGCTGTAAGTAAAGGTCTGATTTCTCAGCAACGCTAAATTTGTTTACGTTCTTCAGCACTGATAACAGCATGCGTGGCAACGGGTATTAGCAAAGAGTGGATAGATGAAACAAACCAACAGCTCAAATTGATCCCTAATCAGACAAATCCCAGCCATACTTCAACACTGCCTGGAGGAGCACAATATGAAAAAGCTATGTCCCTAGAGGAGATTGAGCAGATTATTGGTATAAAGAATATTCCTGGGGTTGATCAGCTCGAGGAGATTAAGCAGATCTATGTGACGAAGGCTCCACAGATTTCTCGGGATAAGGAGGCTTGGCAAAGTAAGTCGAGATCCTTGCAACTTGCCGTTCGTTAATTGAGAGTGCCAGAACTACAAGCTGCGGTTGAGGCATCGGGAATTACTAGAGGCTGGATAGAAGCAACAAATCACGAGCTAAAACTGATCCAAGACGAGAAAGCAGACGAGGATATGGAAGATGAAGAAGCCACAGCCTTTATCCAAGAAGTCTATACGCGCGTTACACCTACTATGGAAAAGATCTTAAGCGGTGATGACGGCAATAAGCTCCATATGGAAATTCTAGATGCAAACAATGCTATAGTAAGCTAGCAATAGAGCTATCCCGATAAAGAGGATATGGTCGACTTAATCGATATAAAGAGAATTGAGGATATTGTGGTCAAGGCTCATTTCCAGGCTGCAAAGTTTGAAAAAGATCCCACCAACGCAAGAGCGAAAGAACAGTTTCTTAGTAGAGTACAGGAACTTGCTGAGCTGGTCGAGGCGAGCTCTTATCCCAGTACTTGGATATTGAAGCCACTGCCTGAAGCGCCAAAGCCCCCACCATCTGGAGGAAATGGCACTGGACCTACGGGTACTACTGGCACTGCTCCTACAGGTACTGCTCCCGCCGGTGTTATAGCTAGTGTTATTACAGACAACGGCACAGGTAGAACCGACATTGGTACGGACCCTTATGAATTAAACAAACTAAATGCAGGAAACCCGGGCTTTACTGAAGATGGAGAGATGATCATGGGACACAAGTTTAAGTATTTCAGAAAGGGCGATAAAAAAGGCCAGGTATACAGCGGGCAACTCTTTGTCGCGATTGGACCGCAAGCCTGCCCTCATGTTAAGGTCCTTCCCCGCAAAGACTTTACCAAGAATACGGTTGACGCATATCGAAACTGCCCTCATGCGATGGAGGTTGGCGGAAGGACTAAGAAAGATGAGTTTGTTAAGATCCTCTGTACCGCAGCCGAATCCTGTGGACCGGAGCCACTGAAGGAACCCGCAATCTATGCCTTATGCGAGCGGAAAGAAGGAAATCCTATCTGGACATGGCGTACAGACCTTTAAGATTGGGTAGAAAGTAAAAGGGCCGCAGATAACCTGCTTCGGAAATGCATGGAACGAGAAACGAGTGAGAGGGCCTAGTTCTATGCAGCCCATGGTATTAACGAAGAATCAGAAAGCCGAGATCGAGTTGAGGATAAGCGCGCTTGTGTCTATGGAAGAAAGGCCAACTCAACTGTAACCGAAGATAGGACCTTTCCATTTGTTGGAGCGTCAGTCTCGCGATCAATTAAGGCCGAAGCGCAACCTGCAGTCAAAATCGAAATGCAGCCTGCGAAGGTAGGAGCGCAAGAAGGATTCGATCCGACCAGCTTTCTTTCTTTTACTGCTTGGTATGAAAAGAAGCATAATCTGAAGCTAGGTGCAGATCCTGCAGAGCTGACAAAGCTGATGGCTGCATTCAAAACCATTCAAGATGCGCTCAGCTTGTAGCGGTTGTTCTTTCCTTTTGGTTAGTTATTGTTTTCTTTACGTCTGAGAGCTTTCCTTACTCGGTGCATGGCCTGTAGCACCTGCTTGCTATCTTCTTTTTCTTAATTTGCCTTTCCTTCTACATTGTTTGGGTCTGTCATTTTGCAATCTGATTGGCTTTATGCGGGATTATACTAGAGCACTTTAGACTTAGTACCAATAGAACTCTAACTGTTTCTGATTTTGACCCCGCTTTTACCGCGATCACGTGGCAAAGGCATCAATACGGAGTTAGGACTCGAATTCCCATTAGCAAACAAACAAGTATGCAATTACAGACCAGTACTTTATCCAAAATATGTTGATTGCGGACGAGGCTTGATGTTATTTCTGGATGAGGCTGAATGCCGATTGTGGAGAGGTTGGATGCCATAAACGCCCGCAAGTACTAGGATCCTTGGATACAAAGAAACTCTCGGGCAAGAGCGGAAGCCGCCCCGGCCCGGCCGCTCCCGCAGCCTTAAGTTCGACTCCATGCTATCACTGATCATGACTACACGGCGCCAGCTACGAACGCAGCTCAGTTACAGTCTTCGAACATTGCGTGTACCCCACCGACGATGAATTGCTACCGATGAATCGGAACCTGATTTACTTTTCCCTCTCATAGATTCTACCTTGGTACATCTTAACACAGGATCGGCGCTAACAAAGCAATAATGGTATGTTAACAATGTCCGCCAAACATGTCTGGGAAGTAGCTTACAAGGAAACCGGCATAGGATCCTTCTTCTTCGAAGAGCGCGCCTAGGATCTCTAATATCGGTCTCTCTACCCTTCACGATCGGCAGGATGCAATCATAGAGTAACCTACATCCCGACACTGCCACAGCAGCTTTCTGATCGCGCTTGCAGCATCATCTTCGTTCATGGCTTGCAGGGCCATCCACGGAAGACATGGACATGCGAAAGAATTCCGGGGCCAGAGAAGGGCTTAAATGAAACGAGCGACCGGGGAATCAAGAGATTCTTGTCCTCCTGGAAACACAAGACGGTTACGATGGATGCACATAAATCCGAAGCAGATGACGTCTTTTGGCCATACGATCTCCTCCGAGAGGACTGTACGCGCTCTCGGATTCTCACATGGGGATACGACTCAAAGGTGTCCCACTTCTTCAGCGGTGCCGCGAATCAAAGCAACATAACCGCCTATGCCAGGAATCTACTACACGCTTTGAAGGTTAGCAGGGTGAATTGCGTAAGTCAGCGTAATGGTACTCGATACCTTCAGCTGATGTGATATTTAGCAAGGGAGAGGCATCATCTTCGTAGCACATTCGCTTGGTGGTAAGTTCTCCCGTTGCAATCACTAGCAGCTGATGGCCCTGACGAATTTGAGGGATCATTGTGAAAGATGTGAGTATGAGCAACACAAGCCGAGTATAGCGTAGAGGGCTCGCAAAATGACGAATCTGCAGGTCATTCGCCGCGCGGCCGCGGACACTGAATCGACGGTACTCGATATATATACATCCACAGAGGCCGTGATATTTCTTGGCACGCCCCACCGTGGCAGTAGTAAAGCTGGCATTGCTGAGGTTGTCAGGAAGATCGTTTCGGTCTCTGGCTTTGATACGACAGATAAGAACATACGGGCACTCCAGGTCAATAGCACCGAGCTTGAGCTTATTCACGAGCTCTTTATGAAGCTCTACGAGCAGAAGGAGCGTCAGTTCAAGGTCCTCACCTTCCAGGAAGCTAAGGGAGTTTCTGGGATAAGCTACCTAAAGTTGAATGAGAGGGTAGGTGCCACCGATAGATCACCCCAGAAGCATACATTCCTGACTAATGCTGCGACTATCTCCAGGTTGTCGAACCTTTCTCGTCCTCTATCACTGGCACTGAGCCAACACAAACCATTAATGCAAATCATATGTCTATGTGCCGATTCCCCAGCAGGGACGATGAAGGATATAAGCAGATCTTGGGAGAGATCCTGATCCTCGTGTCAGACAAGGAAAGGAAGGTGCAGCAGGCGCTTGAAGGGGGTGGGGGGATTACAACCATGAAGACGGGGACCTCCAGTCGAACCACATCACCCTCTGTCGCCCAGTGTATGTAATTCTCGCTTGTTCGTCGTGTGGCACATCAGCTGAACCCCTCATCAGCCTTGACCGATGTGGAGAGGAAGTGCGTAGCACTGCTGATGCAAAACACATCGAGCGCTGCAGAGTACAAGTCCTCGCTTCCCCACCGAGTTGAGGGTACCTGTCAATGGATACTGTCAAATTCACAATACCGCGACTGGAATTCGCAGAAGGAGACCTGCCTCCTGTGGATCAGTGGCTATCCTGGAACTGGAAAGACCATTCTCTCGACCTATATTTTAGAGTATCTAACTGCCGGTGACCTTTCGCCAAGCCTGCACACGACGATATGCTATTTCTTTTGCGACGAAAAGATCAGTACGCAACGGGATGGCATGGCGATTCTCCGAAGCCTCATCCACCAGCTGCTTCTTTACCGCCGGTTATTAATCAAGTACGTCAAATCTGCGTACGATTTTCATGGACCGCAGTTGGAGCAGAATTTCAACGAGCTCTGGAGAATCTTTGTAGCCATTGCTAGTGACAAGCGAACAGGGCCCGTCAGCGTTATCATCGACGCTATTGACGAGTGCGAGGAAGCAACCAGAGAACGATTTCTTCAGCACGTCAGTCAGCTCATGAGCAAGTCATGGCCGACCGGCTCAAGCACGCCCTGCATCAAGTTTCTTGTCACAAGCAGGCCACTATTGGGGCGTCGATGTCCGGGCAACCTTTTGCAAATCGACCCGTCTCAAAACCATGTCGAACAAGATCTGAGACTAGTGATACGAATGAAAGTGGAACGCATCGTCCAGCGAACTCGATGCCACCCTGACGTGCGGACCTATCTCGAGAATGCTTTATTCTCTAGAGCCGATCGGACCTTCCTCTGGGTGACTCTGGTGCTTCATCTTCTCGAGAGAAGCTTTTTAGCATCGCAGAAGGATTTTAAGCGCATTATTGATGAGATGCCCAAGTCTTTGTCAACCACGTACCAGCGTTTCCTACAAGGAATCTCGATGGAGTATCAACCACTCGCCAATAGGCTACTGCATTTCCTGGTGGGCAGCTCACGACCTCTGACGCTGAAGGAGATGCGTATCTTAATCGCTATTCAGGACCATCATCACACTCTCGCAGCTGTGGAAGAAGATGCGCAACCCAACATCCAAGACACCATTGAAGGCGTGCTAGGGCCACTGGTCAGGATCTGGGACTCTCGGATATATCTGGTACACCAGTCTCTCAAGGAATTCCTCCAAATTCTTTCAACCCAGTCCGAAAACCCCTTATCAGCCATCTACGGCGTCGATGGGCACGAAGCAAACTTACTCTTGGCCGAGAGGTGCATATCATATCTATTGCTTAAAGATTTCCGATGCGACCTCTTCTCGCCGGACAGCGGAAACTCTCCGACTTCTCTGGTCGAAGGCTCCCTTGAGGCGGCACCTATTGGACAGCTCTGGGATCCGTTTGATCTGGGCGACGACACCTTTTTCAAGGATCCGGCAGTATCCGAGGCAGAGACTTGTTTGTCCATTGGGTCACGTTATGCCTTCTTCGACTATTCGTCCAGGCACTGGGCGCAGCATTTCTCATTTGCCTGCCTTATAAGCCCTCCCAAGATCCAAGAATCTGCTATCATGTTAGCGGATGTCAGTACCCATCGCGGCTCAAACTGGTTTCGATTCTATTGGCATCATGCTGAAATGACCCTTCCCTACCCCCGAAATTTTGTTCCCATTACAACCGCAAGCTACTTCGGTCATTCAACATCCGTAGAACTTCTCCTGCGCCACGAATCGACGATGGAACCAAGCATAGGAGCATATGGGTTATGCTGGGCGGCGAGGATGGGACATACCGGCGCCGTGGACTTACTTCTTGGAGCGGGAGTCGATCCTGATACGAGTACTGTTGATGGGCAAAATGCTCTCACTGCTGCGGTACAGTTCAACCGCATAGATATCGTGAAGCGTCTCTTAGAAGACGACGGTTTCATCCCCGAACGAAACGAGTACCGAGTCAATTACGCTCCGCTAGGGGGCCGAACACCCCTGTCCATAGCTGCTGGCAACGGCCATGTGGAGATCGTTAGCCAACTTCTACTCCATGCCCGGATCAAGCCCGATATGGCAGATTTCAACCAGTGGACGCCGCTCTTCTGGACAGTAGGTGGCAGGCATTTGGACGTGCTCCAGCTGCTCGTCTCCGATCCCTGCGTTTCTATCAACCACGTGGATAGGTCTGGTCGAAATGTCCTCAGTTGGGCTGCTGCGGAAGGTGAGCTTGAGCTCGTGAGATATCTCTTCTCCATGAAACATCTCCATGTAGATGAAGGAGATCGAGCTGGTCGAACACCGTTCTCTTGGGCAGCAGGAAATGGACATTTAGAGACGACGGTCTACCTACGGCGCAGCGAGCGAATCAATTTATCGAGAAAGGATAAACACGGACGAAATGCGATTTCGTGGGCATGTTCAGGTGGGCATCACAGAGTGGTTGAGTATCTGATCAAACATGACCGCCGAGCGGTCGACGAAGAGGATGTGGACGGCTGGACGCCACTTGCCTGGGCCCTTTTCAGTCAGAACCCAAGAACCGTCAAGGTACTTCTTGAGTCAGGCTCTGTCAATGTGAACAAAAAGGATCACAGTGGTCGGAGTGCTCTGTCATTTGCTGCAGGTTATGGCTATCTGGATATCGTTCAAATGTTGTTGAACACCGAAGGTATTGAAGTTGAGAGCAGGGATAATGATGGATTAACACCTTTGTCACATGCGGCCCGGTGCCCGGCTATCGTGAAGGTATTGCAGACGTTCAGCAAATAGAAGTCAATTTCATTCGCTTAGTAGCAAACATACGATACGTCTTTCCACTGAGATTCTGACTATGCTCTCTCTAGAGATGCGTCGAGTGCCTCCAAGAGGCTCATACCGCTCCTGTCAAGCGTCTTCCAGCCATCATACCATGGACACTTCGGAGACTTCTCGACTATATTGTCGCCGTGCAATGCTGAGATTGGAATGATAGGGATACTGTTGTGAAGAGCTTAGCAGGAGTACAACTTGGGTCACTGGACGGGCTGAATACTTCTCTTTATCATGGCTCAGTCCTTTGGCGATCTTTTGAAATGGAACCGCAGACCAACCAATATTATCCCTGATCTTTTCGTGAGTGGTGCCGAGAGTGGTGAGGACGTGATACGTACATCTTGTTGATCACAACAATAAATCTCTTCGCACCTCCCGAAATCTCCTTCGCCGAGATATCATGTCCTAGATCATCCGCTGAGAGCACAACAATGGCACAATCTGCTTGACTAGGACTAACATCTAAATCTTGTCAGACAGGACTAACGAAAGTTGAAGTACAGACCTGAGAGTGTGATATGATGTTTGGGAGTATCAAAACTTGGGCAAGCTTCGAGGCTTTTCAATTCGTTTGCCGCCTGATTGTACGTCCGAATTCCCCTTCGCTCAAAACTCTCCATTTGTCAACATATCGATAGCTCCATACTATGGCATTGTTAGTTCACGATATATTGGACTCAACCGACGAACTTTGAACAGCATGCAGCCTATTGTGGTAGCCTTCCCGGAGCCGTCGGGCCCCGTGACTACTAGAGTTCTCTCACGATCGCCCATGCTGAATTCTGTGAGGATGTGACGCGCGGTTACCAGACCTCCGAACAGGGCTATCGCGGTCGCTTGTTCTGCAGAATGTGAGTAGGGTGAGCTGGAAGTATTTGATCGCAGTTGATGGAGTCTCTCGCGAGTGGAGCTTCTGAAAGTTCGGCTAAACCACGGAGTGATGACATGTCAGGTGAGCTCTTCGTCCATTGGGCCCATTTGACTACCGAGGTGCCTGAGGCAACACATAACGAAAGTAAAAGCTTCCGAGGTTCAATGAAAACCATGCATCACCAACCACAGTCAATAGCCCTGATTTGATCAACGGGAATCCCGAGACTCTTAGACATCGCTCAGCGCTATACGCGCATCGTGGCAGGATGTGGCCCAACGACTGCCCGCGAGCAAGCTACATGCCTCAGAGAGGGCACATATATGTGGAACCCTCCAACGAACAAATCATATTTACCTCGCTGACGATAGTCACAATCACTATAATAGTTGGCTAGAGATTTTTGGATCAGCGTTGAAGTCGATAAGTCGGGAATGATACATTACCAGTTGACGTTGCCTTGTTGAGTTTGCCTTATTGAGTTACATCAAAGCGACGGAGCTATTGTCATTGGGATTCTGCAAGCTGACTTTCTCAATACAATATCGAGCAAGATCCTCTTCCAGAAACCCTGCCTGGCTGGATGCGCCTTCGATTAGCCTCGAGGCTCGTCCGGAAACTCGCACGGACGATTCTATACTTCGAACGTCCTCTTTCGGCGGGAGCTCGTCATCTCGACCGTCCGCCTATAGAGTAAGTAATCCGAGAATGGAGAGTGAAGGAAGAAAGACATACCAGACAATGAGCACATGGTGCATTATTCACCCATACCCACTTTGGGCAGTTGTAAGTTAGCCAGAACTTGTAGCGGTACTTGTAATACCCTCCTGAGCCAGACATTCTGATGATGATATGTGCCCAAAAAAAGGTGTCAAACAGATGATCAACTGGACAGAACTCACACGTACGGGAGGGTATACTTATAAACCCCCGTGGACATTCGACCCGGTAATGGCTCCTATCCAACAATATTTGGAGCCATTGCTGGGGGTATTGACGAATCCACTCGGTGGCGGTGTATTCGTTTTCGCGCTTGGCGTGGCGCATTTTGGAACCACACTAGCGGATTTCTAAAGCTCGGATCTTAATTTGCGCACCCAAGTAGTCGATTTTCAACCTTACTTGATCAATTTGCACAGTCCGCCAAATTCTCACTATGTCTGCCACACCTGACAACACCTCAACACTCCCTCCGACCAGGGAAGAATTCCCAACCGCTACAGCAAAGACTTTAGAGGGCGAAGCAGCGCTCTACAAACCTGTTCTTGCAGCAGCCCGCGATCTCTCTCAGAGGTTCCCGCCGGAACACATCTCAAAGGCCTTCCTCCTGATTGAGATAGAGGATCTCGCTGAAAAGGAACTGAATAACATACGGGACGATATCGATAAAAAGGTCAAGCCTTGGGATCTGGATAGGTATCATCGCAATGTACTACTCACGCCCAGTTGGACAGCGGTCCCCGATACCCCAGATGCTTTCTTCAGTCGTCACGCAGGCACAAAGGCTAGACTTATTCTTCGGCTGGCGGGGAAAGCCATTATACCCAAGGTCAACAAGCTGTTATCGACTCCGTGACTGTGTCTGGAACTGATATCCAAGCTCAACGATGTCGCCCTGCATGAGCAAATTCAGGCATACATCGATCGATGGAACACGAGGGACATAGAGCCAGAGGTTGCGGAGCGAGCGCAGAAGCGGGCACAGAAGCTGGAAAACAGCCAAAAGAAGAGGCAGCGAGGTTAACAAACCTTCGGTGTAGAAATGCATATCGCTAATATTCAGTAGAGAGCACAACTGCCCAGACGACAGCATCCAAGCGACAGGTGGCGACAACTTACTCTGGTCAGAACAGCTTACGACAACCACAAGCACCGAGCGCTCAGCCGTCATACACAAGGGATATTCCGCAGCAGGGTATCATGACTCAAGTGCAAGCCTTACCAACAATAGCTTCCCTACATGCAGAGCTGCCGAACTTCCAACCCCACCAGAGCCTGCCATCACTACCATCGACGCGGCAAGCCACTACGCAGACGGACAACGTCACAAATTACCATGCCTTTCATGCAAGTCCAGGACCTTATTACCTGAACCAGCAGAACTTGCAGACGCTGGACGAGGTCCATCAGGGGCTGAGGTTACAGCTGAGGCAACAGGAGAAGGAGCAGCAGCAGGAGCAGCAGCAGGAGCTCTTTGAGGAAATTATCGAGCCCCAATGGGATTTGGACGGCTTTGACTACTATTAATTTAGAGCTGGGACAACAGGAGCCGTAGCAGCAACAGCGGGGACGGCGGATGCAGCAAGAGCAGCAGCTACAGGAACAGGAGCGCGCTTAGAAGAAGTCATCGACCACCAATGAAGTTATAACAGCTTTGATTATAGTAGATTTAACTAATATCCTGATATTATCACCACAACTGCGCCTACTTCCAATGTGAGAACACTTTCGCCGCGCACAAAATTCCCTAACCCATTCCCCGTATAAACTTCCCTACTACTGCCGACTTTAAAACCTCTAAAGATGATAAAGACAAGATACTCCTCCTCGCTAGACAAGTTGAGTGTAGTGCGTTCTCCATCTGGCGAAGTGTAATATCTCGCAGTCCCGCCCATTTGAAGCTAGCAGTGATGATCAGCAAGATTCGCTCTAGTGGGCCCCTTCTGCGTGCTTACATCCTCTTGAATTAAATTACATATTGCCTTATCATCCTGCGCCTTTGCCTTCGCATCGAGCTTTTCTTTGAGAGACTTCGCGTCTCTGGGTTTTTTTTTCTGTTTGGAAACAGGCATTATGGGTGGGGTACGTTGATACCAAAGCCTCGCCCCAAGCCAACTAGCGTGGCAAAAAGTGTACGGTTCTCGTCGGTGAAAGATGCGATCGCGACAGCTGCCAGGTACTCAGAATCGTCGTGAGAAGATTGCGAGCTGTGAATATGGATTGGCCATGCCTACGGTAGTAACAGCGAGCTTGATCATACGCTATCAGATTAGTGGCTAAGTTACTGAGGGTCTTGGAGATGCGCACACTTTGATTCATATGCGTACTGTTAAGGACAGGAAAACGGTTGTCCAAGAGCCGCAACTAGCTGAGCTTGGGCCAGGTTCGAAACTTCTCTCAACGCAGTCTCAGCCTCATTGTGGGACAGCACGAGGCTGATTATAGCTGCGATGCTGCCCGGCTGGCAAGGGCGATGAATAACAAGGAGTTGTGGTGAGTGCTTGGGACAGAAGCATTCCCTGGCAGGGAATTGAAAAAGGACCTGCTTGCTTCCCAAAGGCAAACTTTTGTAGTACACCGCTGATTCACCTCGTAGGCGCGGAATTAGCCAAATGGGGATCTCAAGTCGTCCGGCAGAGCCTCCAGAGCTACGGAAAAGCTTGTCCGAACCAGCGGCCAGTACGAAAACAATAAGCCGTGCAGGATCGAACCCGCGATCTCGAGGATGTCGAATATATCTTTGTAGAGATGTGGAAAAGAGAGAAAGAGAGAGGGGAAGAAGTTCGAACCTGTCATCAGACTCATTGATGAAATCCCTGCGTCTAAGCTTGTCTATATATGGCTCGATTAGCTTGCCGGTGTTCCAGTGGCTACTGTGTGGAAGAGATGCTCGAGACATTTACGCGATCGGTGCTTGCGGCAGAGGGTGACACGACGAGGGACTATAATAAGCTGTGCATATTCTGCTGGGGATGATGCCAGCGGCAATCTCATGGCTGTAAGTACAGCGCCCTTGAATGGAAGCCTTGCTCCAGACTGAGCTGTTGTGCGACTCAAAACAAGCTTGCCATCTTCCTCAAGGTCGGGAATATTGGCGGATTGATGGGATTTGCGAGAACCAGGGGTCTGGCAGCAGCAGCTTTTTCTCTCACACAATTATGCTCATTGGAGCTGCTACGGCACGCTTGTACACCCCTCCTCTTACGATTCATCTTGTGGCCAAGCCGAGTAGGATAGCCTGGTCCTCGGCACGATACTAGTCTCCCCCGATTGGAACCCCATCCCACCACGCTATTGGCATTGATCGTTTGTGTTTGCAGTTTAGCTGATCAAGTCCATACGTGGGATCTACTCTAGAGGCTTCATAAATTTACTCGAGGACACAGGGAAAGTATCCTATATCCGAGAGACATTTAGGGCATGGGACAAGCAAGCAATTTTTGAAGTCCTAGCTTATGCCATCAAGAAGTCGATTTTTAAGACCCATTGCTGTTAGGACAGTGAGAGGCCCCAATAACGAGTTAGAAGAGCAAATCAAGCGTAGATCAAGGAGGGGAGCAGTATTGGCGGCGACTGCCAGTCAGCTGCTCTCAGAATTGAAGGCTATGAGGTCAGCTATAACGGCTTGATAGATGATGAGAGCGAAAGTAGCAATGCAGACTATTCCTTCTCTATATCCCGCGACGAAATGATTCCAATCGGAACGAATGGAATTGGGAAGTGCTCATGGCCGAACCGTGTAGTGGTTCGCGGGCCTCAAGATGGGCCACTTTGTGGTTTTGCGGACCCGCTTTGAGGTATTGCAGACCCGCTTTATTGCTTTCCGGGTCCTTGTAGCGGGTTTACTTACCTTGAGTCTCATTTTGCGCAGTCGAGGAAAGGTTTTCGACGCCCGCTTAGCGCATCACGCCTCCTAATGTAATGCTAAAATCATCTCTCCACTTGCCTTACAGCCAATGGAAAGCTGCGCATGAAGATATGATTATGATACAAAGGTGGTTCGGTTGGCTCAGTCTCCAGATCTTACACTCTCTCTCCAATAATGGTGTGCGACCCTGTGTGCTCTGGCGAACTAGGAATAATGGTATAAGAGCAGCTGTAGGAACGAGGCGATCTGCTGCATCGCTGCATGCGCTGGCTTATCACCTTATTTTTCTTCGGAATATACACCTTTACCTGCAGAATAAGGCAATTAATGGCGTCTCCTCCCCCAGCATACGACACGTCTACTTCTCTAGGTGCAGATTCGGTAGATCCTGATCAAACCACGCACCCGTGGCTAACGCCAACGGCTATTCTCCCCAGCTATTCCACCTCAAGTCCTTTATGTTGGATGGAGGAGGAAGCTCTAGGAATTCTTCGAACATCGCACGATTTTGACGCCATCAGACTTATCTGCAGATTTGTTCCTAGTTTGGATCCCTCCGTTGCTGCTGCCTTATTATCCGCACGGCGGAATGGTTGGCTAAATGCCTTTTGAAGATCGTTTGCCGGCGTCAAGCCATCTAAGAGCCTCCTTGCGACTCTCCCATATCCACGGCCAAGGCGATCGTGGATATCATCAGACGGAGACGGTTGTCACCTGCGCCAGAATGGAACCCGGCCTGGGTATTTTCAGCTCTAAATCCTCAACAGATCTCTCTACAATCGCTGAGAAATTCGATGCTCAGATTCACTCAGTGACCTCTAGGATCACATTTGAGGACTAGCTGGCATGGTCTTATGGGTATTCGAATGACCCTATTCAAAGCCTCCTCAACACGCTATTCAACTTCCGCAATGACCTTACTCGATTAGTACAAAAGCGAGCCCTAATGGCTGACAGATTACAATTGCTTCAAATGGCAAGCTTTTGTTCTTGCATAAGAGACACCGCTAATATAGAAGATAGGTATTGCCATCTCGACACCCTCTACCATATTGGATAGTATCGACTGCAATAGCCTCTGATACCTCGTCCGAGCTATCTGAAGCTCTTCGGTTTTTTGTCGACCCGATCAAACAACTGGGTTAAGAGCAGTCGTGCGGAATTTTATCAGTTGTTCGACGGTTTTCAATCTTGAATACACACTATGAGTTGCAAATCACGTTTGCAACTGATGTAAAGTGGCCGAAACCTTTCTCAACGCGCTTTTCATTCTGGGAGAGCGTTTAAAGGGGGAGCCTACTGGATCTAGCAAAGTTAAACACAGAGTTTGTGAGCAAGCTTTATCGTAGACTTGCTGTTGGAGACGTCCTCGATGACACTGAGTGCCTCAAGGGTATTAAGAGGCAATAGTCAAATCTTTCTACTGATATCCAGGCATGTTTGGTTGTCAACGAAGATTTGGCGATTTACTTCATTGAACTTGCAGATGTACATTGAATTCCCTCTGTACAGCATATATAACTAATTTGAAGTAGCATCTCCTTGACCTACGGAATGTACATTCTGCTGCAGCTATAGGCTTAGCCCTCGAGAGATGGGGGTATCAGCCTCAGAACGCCACGCAATCGCGAGTGTGGGACATTATCAATCCAAAGGACAACTATACTAGTTGCAGAGAATTTATAGCAGAGAATATACCTTGTCTTCCCTTACTTTTTCTATCAGTTGCGGAACTACAACGGTCAAAAAATGCACCAAGCAAGATCATGGCGCTCTTTCAATTTCAGGCATACTTCGGAAGACTGAAAGAAGAGATTGAGCATAATGTAGAGAAGGAAGTGGTTCGAGAGGGAACAAGTGAGTCTTGGTATGGGATTCTTTGGAAGAGCTTTTCGTATAACCTTTGTATCAGTTGCCAATAGAAATTCACCAAGTTACTCCCCTTCCTCTTCGCCTAGAAGGCGACCAAAACGAATGCAGGAACTCAACCCAGAAGATTCGCAACGACACAACCGGAACACGAAGAGAAGAAAAGTGGATGACAAGGCAAGTTATGATCACATTCTTTCAAGCTTGTGGGGGTTTCAGCTAACAACTTACAGCCCTATAAACCACACTCGCCTCTGATTCTCGAAAGCACTACCGGGGGGGCAGGGAAATTTGGATCATACATGGTGCGAGCTCACTAAAAGGGCAGTTCGAGTTTGAGATTCCGAAGAATAACAATATGAGTCCCGATCGAATGGCATATTACATCGCCTTTCGGGAGGAAAATGCAGATGAAATACGGGCTCTATGTATCAAGAAAAACTGTCAGATCTTTAAAGACGCTTGTCAGCAGATAGAGAGGATGTTGCTAGGGGCAGCAGATACTTCAGCAGTCGCTTTGGAGATATTATCTGGCCTGACACGCACGCAGATAGTCCTGGTCTCGTGTGCTACTGTTGTTGAAGTACAATGTTTCCATAGCGTGACTCGCAGTGCGGACTTGAGGGATTGGACAGAGGAGGAGAGAGAAGCTTTCGTTCGCAAATTTACTTCCTTTGTAGATGGATATTGGGACCAAGAAAGGATACTGAACGATTGGGAGGAGCTTGTCAAGGTCAGTCAGCTAAAGCAAGATTAATGTTATACAGAGCTAATACACTCCTGTTCTAGGTCCTGTTCGACAAGGTATGGGAGAGGTTATCAGGGCTGCCCCTTGCTTCGAGCGGGTATCCGTCTGTATGGGCAGGAGTTGAGATCTGGTCGAAGTTGGACAGGCTTCCACGAGAGACTGAAATACTGAGACTTGAATTGGTGATTGATTAAAGTGGCATTACCTGTAGGACAACAGATTGTATGAAATATGTAGAAACTATCTCCTCGCACCTCTCAAAGTGGGTTCTTCCACACCCTCTGAACCTCCGCAACAGATATTCAAGGAGCTAACATTCCAAAAAAATTGCCAATTCCCCTCATATATCACCAGTTGAAAACGTCCACTATTTAGAGGATGCAGGAAGAGGTGAGGAAGACCTACTCTTGCTAAATTTAGAACTCGCAGGGAATCTTATCAACAGTACGTCAACGTCTTTGGAGGCAGACGTTCGATTCTTCTTGTCTCGGGCATTGAAAATCTGCAAAAAGCCCTATCAAATTCAGGACTGAGACTGCAGCACGACAATACGGAATGCGGTTTCGCACAGAAAGAAAAACCTTTTGAGAAACTCTAGTATTGTCATCTATGTAGTGCTGTCTAACCCCTGAACATTTTATGCCTATCCTGCAGCTTCTCAATACCATTCTCCAACAATTAATTCCCTCTGGCGCTTGGCAGACAACGGCTCAGAGGTAATGGCTTCAACTTCCGTACCCGACATGGCATATACGACGACGGGTGAGAAGATCTTCTCGAGCCCACGCACGATATGTCGCTCGGTTCATCCTGACAGACGTCAGCGAACACGTGCGCACTAAGAGCCGCCTATCCACCCGTGCGAGGAGGCCTACTCGCCTCTAGCCTGTACGATGTTCAAGCGTGTGCGCACTGCAGGCTGAGTCCTGCTTGGGAACTGGCGGAAGATCCACTTCCACGACTTACCCTCCTTCCTGTACACCAGCAAGCGCTGCTCGTCTATAGGATCCCATAGGACATTCGACCTCGAGCCCGAACGGCTCAGCTCGTCCTCGCTCGAACATCCGTCACTATCACAGTCGCTGCCGAGTTCGGGATCGCTGTCGCTCAATCCACTCTCATCGACATTGCTACTTGGGGGCTCACTCCCCCACGATATGAACGCCCTAGCATAAATGGCTTTGCCATCCTAGGAGCGGGTACGCGTCGCATCGACGTGGTCACAGCCTGCCTCCGCGGTAATCGATAACGATGTATGCCGGCTAAAGCCACTCAAGCGGTACGAATGTTGCTCAATCGGCTTGATGGTGAAGTCGTCAATCTTCCCTACGTGACCGGTGCTCGCGATGAGTCGAGCTAGCTAAGCGAGAGAGACTTCTCGCCCGTTACAACCGTCCCGGATCGTCGCCGTGAACGAGTAGTAGTGTGCGGAGTGCGGACGGAACGTGATCTCTGTTAGCGTCGGTGGCGTAGCTCTGGATGATGGGCTAAGGTTAGAGTCGCCAAGCGACATCTTTGTATCTATGCTTTGTGGCAAAGGCACTACTGAAGGTAATCGGCCCTTGGCACTCAAGCTTATAGCGACTCTTGAACACTAGTCGAGAGGGGAGTGTGACTTGAGGTATTAGCGATGGGGCTTGGAGAGAGGTCTACGCTGGCAGGAAGAGCTTTTCTAAGGGCGCCTATGCCTCTTGCATGTTGGGCCATCGTGAGATGAGGACAGCTGCTTCCGCTTAGCAGGACGTGGCTTCTTCTCATCATCCTTAGCCGAGTCGGTGCTGTTGAGCTCGTCGTCGCTGTCACCACCGCTTCGGCTTCCTGCCTCGTTGCAACTCGGCTCTAGAGATAAGGCGAGGTTGGGAAGCGATTGCCGGAGGTTGGCTACTCTTGGACTTCCACTAGCCCTTTCAGCAGTTACCACTGGTGCCACAACATTCATCTCTTGCTGCGGCCCCTCGTCTTCATCCTCAGTGTTACCTTCGTCTTTCTCCTGCTCCTGCTCCTACTCCTGCTCCACCTCTTACTGCTTCCTCGCCCCTTCATTGATGAGGAGAGTGTTAAGGCAATAGTCAACCAGCTCGTGTTCGTCTGCTACGCCTCGACCAGTGTGAAGACGACCCGCTTAACTGAATTGGGTGTATGGCGATGCTCTAGCATAGTGTGGAGGCGGGCTCGAAGAGGAGGTCGTAGTCTCGGATCTAGCGCGGCGCAATCCTTCTAGACTAATGCTATCGTTTAATGGCTCGCTCGAGAGGCGCGAAGAAGGGGTATGAGGAGGCAGAGAGTCTGGCGTTGAAGCTCCTTGTTTCGCAAGCCGTAAGCGTGGAGCCGGCTCGAGGAAGTCTTTAATATCGTGCCACCTATCGGAACTGCGAGGAGGGGCCGGAGTCGTCGAGTCGATGGCTAGCTCTAGGCTATCGAAAAGTCCAGCGCCTGGTGCTATTGCACTTTTAGCGCGAAGACTAACGTCATTGGCTTCAGCTTCGGAGGCACTCGAGTTGCTATCGCACAGGAGGATAATTGGATCATCTACACTATATCAGAAAATTGGCCGTCTATTTCCACAATGGAAGTGTAGTAGGCGCGGCTCACCTGGACTCCCGCCTAAGTTATCGCTTTGCGCTAACTTGCTCTAGTCGACAGAGCCACCCCGCTTATTTGTAGCTACTTCCTCAACTCCGCTCATCTTGTCTGGGCCTCGATCCCCAGTTGTAAAGCCCTGCGCTTGTAAATTGGTAAATAGCAATTCTTCGATTGTGGGGAGGTCTCGGTCGTCGTCGTCGGTTTCGTTATTATTTGCGTTGTCGCTACCGCCGAAAACAGTGCTAGTGCCTAGTCAGATTCCCATAAGTCAGTCACTGTCACTGTAAGCCAATACATCTCCATTACATACCTTGAATTCCGGGCCTGTAGCCCTCGTCATTAGCTGCTGGCCGCGGGGTGCTAAGTGATGCACTACTCGACGTAATATGCTGGAGCTTGCTAAGGATGCTGACCTGTTCCGCGGTAGGTCTGCGGTGGGTTGCTGTGCTCTTAGAGCGCGGAGCAGTTGGCTTATAGGTATAAAGTTTAAAGGCAAGAGTGGCCATCTGTAGCGCGTGGAAATTACTGAGAGTATTCGAGAAGTTCTCCGCTAGCTGCTAGCTACACAACTAGACTGCAAAAAAAGAAGGCAAAGACGGGGAAATCAATAGGTTTATGTAGGCTTCTCGCACTGCCCTCGCAGCACCAGAATACGCCTTATTGCCCGCCGTGGCATGCCATGCCATTCTCTTCCACCTACTGACGCCCTCGCTGTGAAAATGCCTCGGCATCAATGCGGCCTCTTTCGCGCAGAGAGATCCGCCGCAGCTGCAAGGCCTTGTCCGCAGCCGTTACCCCTACTTCGCTGTGCACCACAATCAGCCGATCTCAGTCTCATCTCTCGATCGTCGGCGAGGCCGTGAAAAGCTGAGCAGGAAGGAGCGAGGCCCGTCGTACGAGGAGGGGTGCATGACTTCGGATACTTCCCTCTCCGCCCGTTCGAAGGCTTTAGGCAGACTGGTAGACTGGCACATTCCAGGTCCTTCCTAGCGTCCGGCGTCTCAGCTGCTAATCCTGTAGCTGGCGCGGTCCAATTGGCGGATCCTTAGCAGATCCTCTCAGGAAATTCTCCTAGCAGAGCCCTTGTGATGATCTTACCGCTTCGAATTAGCCCAGGGCCACGCAATCAAGACGAATACAACATATACTGCAGCAACGGGGAAACTCACCAGGAAGCTACCAGCGCATCATTCACCTGCAGCACCTGGGGCACAGCTAGGTAGAAGACAGGCCGCGTCGTTTTGAGGCATTTCCGCGACTGGCTATTGTGCTGCAACGAGGGAGGCCTTGTCCACAGCGTATCTGTCTCCGGAGCACCCTGCAGTGAGAGTCCGTGATGGTACGACGACGAGGCAGATTGCGAGAGGGTCTGGACGCTGTCGAGCTCGTAACTCAGCCAATGCGAGGCGGACATATGAGGGGATTCGCATTACAGCTGCTCAGCAGTATCGAGGCTAGAGGGGCGATCGTGGATTCTGGTTGAAGCTGCCCTGCACCTCGCTGGCGCGGTATCCTCAGCCGCGGCGTGGCCATCAGGGGGGGGCTGGTGGGAAAGGGTAGGATTCTAGGCAGAAGGGCCGAATGCGGATGAAGAGCGAGCGCCGAGCGTCGCGAGGTGGAGGTTGTTGGGCTGTTGAACAGGAAGGAAGAAGGGAAAGGAGCGAGCGATGGAGTCGCGAGATTCTTATACCCCGCGAAAGCGGCGCCGGGCCCGTGCGCGCGCCTTGCCCGATGCGGGGGTCGCGGTTTCCTGATGCGGGCTTGCCGTCTGGTCGTTTACCGTATTATTATATTATTTAAAAAATTTTAAAAAAAAAATTTTAAAGAATATTTTATTAATAAAAATTAGTTACGGCTTTAAAAATAATAAATATATACGGCACGTACGGCTAAAAAATAATATTAAAAAAATATT